AGAGGAAGAGGAGAAGGAAGAGGAAGAGGAAGAGGAAGAGGAAGAGGAGGAGGAGGAAGAAGAAGAAGAGGAGGAAGACGAAGAAGAGGAAGAGGAAGAGGAAGAAAAAAAAGAAGAAGAAGAAGAAGAAGAATAACCAAATTAAGAAGAAGCAGGAAAAGCGTGGGGTGGGGGGGAAGAGGAGAAAGTGACGCTAGCACTCGAAGACGCTGGCACTCGCCTCGTCTGGCTTGGGCATGCCGGGGCGCCATCGCCACATCGGCTGGGCCTGCCTCGAGCAATCCTGGGTGGCGACGCGCGCCATGGAGGAGCCCGGGGTAAGGGAAAGAATCCCGGGGGCGGGGGCGGGGGGCGCAGGCGCAAGCCTGCGCAAGGCAGCGGCACACGCCGCATCCTCTCGGGGATCTCCCTGGGAGGCCCTTGGCGGAGAACAAAAAACAGATCCGCGCCCCCACCCCAAAGATCCGATGTCGTGATTTGTTCCATACGGGGTCCCTGGAAGTCTCGACCCATTCCCCAAGACCAGTTGTTTTCACTCCCAACATCCTAAGATGAGGTTCCTGTATCACTCTGACGCCGCCGACTCCTCAGTCAGTCCTCCTCCCATTCTCGTCTCCTCCTACTTAGATTTCGTTCATACTCAGAATCCTTCGCACTCATACTATTCTGAGTTGTCCACATTCAGACTCACTCATGCTCGTACCCTCTCGGATTCACTCATGCCAAAACTCTGTCGCAGTCATTTTTTCATGCTCTGGAAACTCGGAGGATGTCTCAGGTGGGGTGTTGGTTCCAGCACCCCTGGGGGGAGCCGCCCGAAGGGTATCGCACGGCCTCTCAGGCGATTTGCCTGTTGCGGTGCCCAACATCGTTTGTGTTGACAGCAGCTTGTGAAAGGGTCACAGGCGGGGCTTGTGTCAGCACCCGTTAGGGGGGCCGCCAGATGGTATTGCATGGGCCCGTTCGCGGCCAGTTTGCGGGGATGTTTCAAGTGGTTTGGAGGGGTATTGCACGGGCCCGTTCGCGGCCAGTTCGTGGGGATGTCTCAAGCGGTTTGCCTGTTTCGGTGGCCAACATCGTCTGCGTAGATGAGGATGTTTCAGGCGGGGCGCTGGTTTCAGCACCATTAAGAGGAGCCGCGTATGGCATGGGCCCGTTCGCGGCCAGTTTGTGGGGATGTCTCAGGCGGTTTGCCAGTTTCGGTGGCCAACCTGTTTTGTGTTGAAAGTAGTAAAATATGAAGATGTCTCAGGCGGGGCGCTGGTCTCAGCACCCTAAATGGAGCTGCCAGAGGGTCTTGAACGGGCCCGTTCGCGGCCAGGTTGTGGGGATGTTTCAAGCGGTTTGCCTGTTTCGGTGGCCAACATCGTTTGCATAAAGTAAACCAGATTGTGAGGATGTCTCAGGCGGGCGCTGGTTGCAGCACCCCTAAATGGAACCGCCAAAGGAGGGAAGTCACGGGCCCGTTCGCTGCCAATGTGTGGGGATGTCTCAGGCGGTTTGCCTGTTTCCGTGTTCAACATCGTCCGCGTTTATAACAGTTTACGAAAATGTCTTAGGCGGGGCGCTGGTTTCAGCACCCCTAAGGGGAGCCGCCTGGGGTGTTTTCACGAGCCCGTTCGCGGCCAGTTTGTGGGGATGTCTCAGGCGGTTTGCCTGCTCTGTGGCTCAACATCCTTTGCTGTCAAAGCTGATTTGGAGGATGTCTCAAGCAGGGCGCTGGTTTCGGCACCCTTAAGGAACCGACAAGGGGTATTGCATGGGCCCGTTCGCGGCCACGGGGATGTCTCAAGCGGTTTGCCTGTCTTCAGTTCAACATCCTTTGCTGTCAAAGCTGATGTGGAGGATGTCTCAGGCGGAGCGCTGGTTCCAGCACCCCTAATGGGAGCCGACAGAGGGTATGATACGGGCCCGTTCGCGGCCAGTTTGCGGGGATGTCTCAGGCAGTTCGCTTGTTTTGTGGCTCAACATATTTTACTTTCAGAACATATTTGGAGCCTGTCTCAGGTGGGGCGCGGGCTCCAGCACCCTTAAAGGCGCTGGTTTCCTTCTCTCTGACGCTCCTCCGTTCTCGCTCCTGTGCGCTTCCTCCATGCACCTATGTCGCGTCCTCGCTCGGGCCTCTGGGGGCCGAATCGGCCTCGGGGGGGGGCAAATCCAATGACCCACGGGACAGCACGGCGTTCTTGGTTGAAGGCCGTCTTTGTTAACCCGGGTGGTTAAGTGGAGAAATTGCAAATGACGCAGAATGTTTTCCTGTGGCTGTGCAGGCTCGCGCGGGCTGGGGGATCGCTACCTGGGGCGGATCTGGTGATCCGCAAAGAGGGCGCTCTCGGTTGGAGGCCATCCCCATCCATCCCATGTCTGAGTAGGGTCGAAGACCGCCATTCTTCGTCATCCTGCGTGTGAGTGGAGCAACGACTGATGACGCAGAGCGTTTTCCTGCGACATTGGAGACTCGTGCAGGCTGGAAATATCGGCACGCATGGCAAATCTGGCGGTCCGCTTAAGGAAAGGGCGTTCTAGGTCGAAGGCCATCCTCATCCATAATCTCTGCGAGTGGGGGCGTGGCCCGTCATTGTGCCCCATCCCGTGAGTGAGTGAAGGAAGGGCTGATGACGCAGAATCCTCTTTTGCGCCACTGGGAGGCCGTGCGAGATGGAAGAACCCTTATGCTGAAGGGGACCCCGTGATCCGACTGTCGGCAGGGCGTTCAGGGTTGAAGGCTGTCCTCATCCATAACTTGCGCGAGTGGACAAGCGCTGGCGGGACGCGAGGACAGAGACCAGATCGGCGCAGATAGGGTGCACCTGCTCCTGCGGCCTCCTGCTAGCTTGACCCTAGCTGCCTATACTGGGTAGTCGAAGCCAATCTGGCGCCAATCTGGCAGGCCCAATCTGGCAAACGGGGCAATGGCAATCTGGCGAGGGAGCCAACGCGAATCCAGTCTGGCGAATAACCCAAATCATCCAGTTTGGCCAGGCCAGATTGGCCCTTGGGGCCCAATCCAATCTGACAGTCTGGCCTTCGACTACCCAGATATAGCCATCACGGCTCGTGCTACCGCGCGTACCCTCTGGGACGCACGGAGGACAGAGAGGAGGAGGAGGACGAGGAGGAGGAGGAGGAGGATGCGTGCTGCTCCATTGGGTCGTGCTCCAGCACGCACCCCCTAGGACGCACGGAGGAAGGAGACGAGGCGCGCTGTTCCCTTGGGTCGTGTTCCGGCACGCACCCTCTGGGAGGCACGGAGGAAGGAGATGAGGCATGCTGCTCCTCTCGATCGTGCTCGGGCACGTACCCTACGGAGGAAGGACGTGAAAGAGGATACGTGCTGTTCCCTTCGGTCGTTCTCCGGCACGTACCCTATGGGACGCACGGAGGAAGAATATGAATGAGGATGCGCGTTGCTCCCTTGGGTCGTGCTCAGACACGTACCCTCTGGGACGCACGGAGGAAGGAGATGAGGCGTGCTGTTCCCTTGGGTCGTGCTCAGGCACGTATCCCCTGGGACGCACGGAGGAAGGAGTTGACGGAGAGGGCGTGCTGCTCCCTTGGGTCGTGCTCAGGCACGTACCCTCTGGGACGCACGGAGGAGAGCAGGAGTCGGAGGAGGACCAGGAGCGCACTTTCGGTCCATTGGAATTAAAAACAGGGGAAATGCTGTCGTTTAAATTCAGGTTGCGGGGTTTCGTGGGCCCTGGGGACTCTTTCGATCGCAAAGGGGGATTATGTGAAGCACGGACATATGTATGTTCCGTGTTTTGATTTCAGCTTTTATTTGTCTTGGTGTTTTTGGTTGTGTTTGTTGCTTCGGAGGTTAAAACTGAAAAGCTTATCGCGAGGTGCCGATTGAAGCGCTTGTCTTTCGTACTCTTCCCTAGTGCTTCGGACGCGATACCAGTGGAATTCTCTGCCTTGGCAGCAAATGCGCTAACATTTGCATGTGAATGAATGTGTACATGTGTTGAATATACAGCCGAGCTGCGCGCACGTGTGCTCGTCGCTCAAATGGACGCGCTCTTAGATCAATACTATCATAGACAGATGCTCACCATGGCACTATCCTACAACATGAGATGCACAGATAGCTCATGATATGCAACAGATCCCAAATACAAAGTATAAAAAAAGATCCACATATGGGTGCTCCACGAAGTGAGTAATCCGGAGTCGTTTTTTGACAGTCCCGGGGCCCGGCGAGGGCCCCTCGAGGCCGAGAAATACGCGAGACCTCCATCTTGATGTTTGCCTATGCGTTGGATCTCTGGGACTTTCGGCGGAGGCCCGGCGCACGGCAAGACGGCGTGCCGCAGCCTGGGGGGCCGCCGCAGGCACTGGGCTGCCCCGCGGGGGCCGTGCCCGGCGTTCGCCCGCCGAGTGCGCTGGGCACGGGCTGCGGGCTCGTCGCTCGGAGGGCCGGGGAGGGCGACGCAGCCAAAAGGGCGCGGCGCGGGTGGCGCGCGGCTGGGCTGACGGGGGCTCCACTTATATCCGCCACCGTGCCTGCACGGAGTGGGCGTGCCAGAGTGCGCTTCTGTTGCCTGGGGTGGGCGGCGACGCAGCCAAAAGGGTGCGGCGCGGGTGGCGCGCGGCTGGGCTGGCGGGGGCTCCACTTTCAGGTCGGGCACCCCCCTACAGGCGGATTTTGGACGAAAGATCAGAAATAGTCAAAACAATATCCCGGCAAAGCAATCTAACAGCGATGTATATAAGCATATCTGGAAGCATTCCCCTTAAGATTCAGCTGAGAATCCAGTTGTAGAATTCTGCTTTTCTCGCAGTCGCAGTCGCATTCGCAATGACAGTCGCAGTGGCAACGGCCTTAGGATCCAATGGAATCCTAAGGATCCCTAGGGATTCCTAAAGAATCCTTAGGCATCCTTAGGAATCCATAGGAATCCTTAGGAAACCTTCGGGATCATGAGGAATCCTGATTCCCAGGGATTCCTAAGGATTCCAGAGGAATCCTAAGGATTCCTAAGGATTCCTGAGGATGCTTAACTATGTCTACGGATTACTAAGGATGCCGAATTACGGATTTCTAAGGATTCTTAGGGATTCCTACGGATTCCTATGGATTCCTACGGATGCCTCAGCCTGCCTCAGTTTCAGCCTCAGCCTCAGCCTGCCTCGGCTTGCCTCAGCCTCAGCCTCAGCCTGCCTCGGCCTCAGCCTCAGCCTGCCTCAGCCTCAGCCTGCCTCGGCCTCAGCCTGCGTCAGCCTCAGCCTCAGCCTGCCTCAGCCTCAGCCTGCCTCAGCCTCAGCATCAGCCTCAGCCTCAGCCTCAGCCTGCCTCGGCTTGCCTCGGCCTCAGCCTGCCTCGGCCTCAGCCTGCCTCAGCCTCTCCTCCCCCTCCCCCCTTTCCCACCCCCTTCCCCCCCCCATTCAGCCTCACCTTGTCTCAGCTTCGGCCTGCCTCGGCCTTAGCCTCAGCCTCAGTCTCAGTCTCAGCCTCAGCCTGTCTCGGCCTGAGCCTGCCTCGGCCTCAGCCTCAGCCTGCCTCAGCCTCAGCCTGCCTCAGCCTCAGCCTCAGCCTGTCTCAGCCTCAGCCTGCCTCAGCATCAGCCTCAGCCTCAGCCTCAGCCTGCCTCGGCTTGCCTCGGCCTCAGCCTCAGCCTCAGCCTCAGCCTCAGCCTCAGCCTCAGCCTGCCTCAGCCTCAGCCTCAGCCTGCCTCAGCCTCAGCCTGCATCAGCCTAAGCCTCAGCCTGCCTCGGCCTCAGCCTGCGTCAGCCGCAGCCTCAGCCTCAGCCTCAGCCTCAGCCTGCCTCAGCTTCAGCTTCAGCCTCAGCCTCAGCCTGCCTCGGCTTGCCTCAGCCTCAGCCTCAGCCTGCCTCGGCCTCAGCCTCAGCCTCAGCCTGCCTCGGCCTCAGCGTCAGCCTCTCAGCCTCAGCCTGCATCAGCCTCAGCCTCAGCCTCAGCCTGCCTCAGCCTCAGTCTCAGCCTGCCTCAGCCTCAGCCTGCCTCAGCCTCAGCCTCAGCCTGCCTCGGCCTCAGCCTACGTCAGCCTCAGCCTCAGCCTGCCTCAGCCTCAGCCTGCCTCAGCCTCGGCCCTCAGCCTGCCTCGGCGTGCCTCAGCCTCAGCCTCAGCCTGCCTCGGCCTCAGCCTGCCTCAGCTCGGGCGGTCAAAATATGGCACAGGACTGGTGTTCTAGGAACACGAAGATCACGAAGTGGCCCACAGTTGGCTCCAGGCATTCCAAATGTGGCCTAGGAATTGTGTTCTGGGAACACGAAGAACACGAAGTGGCCTACAATTGCCTCCGGGCATTCAAAAATGTGGCCTGGGAATGGTGTTCTGTTGGCTCCGGGCATTCAAAATGTGGCCTGGGATAGTGTTCTGGGAAGTCCCCAGATCCCCCAGATTCCCCCAGCATCCGCCTGGACCCCCCTGGGGAGTCAAGATGCTCTCTTTTGACCCCACTAGAAACCTATCAGTCTTCGCTGTTAGGCAAAAGTCCAAAAATGCTCAAAAATACTCTCAAAGATCACCCCCATAAGATTTTTATGCCAGAGTGCGCTTCTGCCTGGGGAAGTCTCCTGAGTCGTTCAAGGGACGACACCAAGTCAGGGCCGCGCGCGTCGTTAAACGACCGCCCCCCCCGAAGTTACTCTCTGGCGCCCTTGTCGGCCCCCAGACGGCCAGGATGGCCTCCAGGACGGCTTCCCAGGCAGCCAAGACGACACCAAGGGGGCCCAAGGCGGCCCAAGACCACTCAAGCGGCTCCCAAGACGGCCTCAAGAGCCCAAAAGGCCTCCAAGACGGCCCAAGAGGGCTCCAAGAGACCCTCCAGGAGAGCCCGAAGGGCTCCTTCGATTTTTCAGGACTTTGAAATTCTCGCCTGCTTGAGCTTGCGACCGCCAAAGATGGCCCAAGATGCCTGCAAAGTAGCTCCAAGACAGCCCAAGAGGCCCCCAAGAGGGCCCCAAGAGGTCCCCAGGAGGCCCCCAAGAGGCCCTAAGAGGCCCCCAGGAGGCCCCCAGGAGGCCCCCAGGAGGCCCCCGGGAGGCCCCCAGGAGGCCCCTAGGAGGCCCCCAGGAGGCTCCTAGGAGGCCCCCAGGAAGACCCCAAGAGGCACCCAAGACGCCCCAAGAGGCTCTGAAGACTGCCAGCGATGGACCCCAAGAAGTCTCATGAGGCCCCCAAAGAGACCCCCCAAGAGGCCTCCCCGAGAAACATCCCAAGAGACCCCGAGAGGAGCCCAAGAAGCCTCTGGCCCACGGAGGCTCACCGAGCCCTCCACACGACGCGACGCTCCCCCGAGAAGGGCAGCTCCCCTGGTCATCGTTTCTGGGTGGGCTGGTGGGAGCACGCGCAGCGCTACGAGCTCAAACTCCTTCCCGCTGCGCTGCTGCACGGGCACAGCGTGCCTACACGTTCGAGCTTTCCAACGCGTTTGGCGCACATTCATGAAGGAGGAGGAGGAGGAGGAGGAGGAGGAGGAGGAGGAGGAGGAGGAGGAAGGGGGGGGAGGAGAGAAAGAAAGAGGGAGGAGGGGCGAGGAGGAGGAGGAGGGGGAGGAGGTGGAGGAGGAGGAGGAGGGAGGAGGACAAGGAGGAGGAGGAGGAGAAGGAGGAGTTGGAGGAGGAGGAGGAGGAGGAGGAGGAGGAGGAGACGGGAGGCAAACTTCCAGCGGGTTAGTTTTGCCGCAGGCCGCTTGGGATATATTTACCGACCGAGGACGCCGCGGGGCGGGCCTGGGGAGGGGGGAGGCCAGGCGGCTGCCCGCGCCCGACGGGGCGCTAGCGGCTGGCGATGGCCCGGCGCCTGGCCAGGAAGGCCTCGCGCGCCAACGTGGCCAGCTCGAGGGCGCCCGCCTCGCCCGCGCAGGCCGCCGGGCCGCGCGGCGCATCCCTCGCGGCGCGGCCCGCGCACCCCAGCAGCACCGGCAGCCTCGGGGCCTCGCCGCCCTCGCCCTCCGAGTCGGAGGTGCTCGCCGGGCTCGCGGCCAGGAGCGGGCTCGAGGGGCAGCGCGTGGAGGGCGTGCCGCCCGAGCAGCTGCCGTCGGAAGGCCTGGGAGGGCGCCCCACTGAGCGCCTTGCGCCGGTCCTGGCCGGGGCCCAGTCGTGCCGCCAGGTCCCGAGGGCGTCTGGACGCGCAGCTGGGGCCCAGGACTGGGCCGGCCAGGGTCGGTGTCGGCGCGCAGCCGGCGTCCTCCAACCAAGACCCGCTCCAGACCCGTCCCTGGACCCCTTTCTGGGACCCAGCCCGGCCCGTGTTCTGAGCCGCGTCCAGCCGTGGCGACGAGGGCTCCCTCCCCTGTTGGCCCAGAGGAGGAGGAGGAGGAGGAGGAGGAGGAGGAGGATGAGGAGGAGGGAAGAAGAGGCACAAGAAGGAGGAGGAAGCTGGCGTCTGGCCGCCACCCGAGTACCTGTCGGAGACGAGCATAGCGCCGAACCGCTCGAATCCGCGGCGCTGCAAGAGCGAACTGCCAGCCGCCGCCGATGTCTGCTTCTGTAGGGGAACGAAGATTAACATGTACATAAAAACTCGGAGGTCCGCGCGGATTTCTCGGATCGGCGCCGGAGGCGCCGCCAGGGGGGTCCAGCGCGGATCCGAGAAATCCGCGCGGGCCTCCGAGTTCTTATGTTTATTATCATTCTTCGCTCCCTTGTTCTGGGTCACCAGCGTGGCGGCCATCCGGCAGATGGGTCGATGGCTGGCGATCGGCGCGCTGAGGGCCGAAGCGGAGGTTGGAGGACGCCAGCTGCACACCCACACCCACCTCTGGCCAGGCCGAGCCAGGGCCCAAGATCGGTGCACACGCCTTCCTGGCTCCTGCTCCTCCTCCTCCTCCTCCTCCTCCTCCTCCTCATCATCCTCCTCCTCCTCCTCCTCCTCGCCTCCTCCTCCTCCTACTCCTCCTCCCTCCTCTCCGCCTCTCCTCCTGCTCCTCCTCCTCCTCCTCCTCCTCCTCCTCCTCCTCCTCTCCTCCTCCTCCTCCTCCTCCCTCCTCCTCCTCCGCCTCTCTCCTCCTCCTCCTCCATCCTCCTCCTCCTCCTCTCCTCTCCGCCTCTCCTCCTCCTCCTCCTCCGCCCTCCTCCTCCTCCTCTCTCCCTCTCCTCCTCCTCCTCCTCCTCCTCCACAACCTCCCTCCTCCTCCACCCCCTCCTCCTCCCGCCTCCTCCTCCTCCTCCTCCTCCTCCTCCTCCTCCTCCTCCTCCTCCTCCTCCTCCTCCTCCTCCTCCTCCTCCGGGAGATCCGATCATACACCACACCAAAGCTGGGCCCACGCTTGGTCTGGCCGGGATCGGGTGAGTGTGGATCTGGCATCCCCGAGGAGAAGACGGGGAACGCTCACAGGTTCGCCAGCTGAAACCAAAATTGCCCCGCAGCGGGGAAGTACAGTCAACCAGTGTAGTAAGGATGCGCGATAAGGATGCAGGGACTTGGACGCCCATTTCGAAGCTGTCGACGACGACGACGACGACGACGACGACGACGACGACGACGACGACGACGACGACGACGACGACGTCCGCATTCGCGCCTTCGCGGGCGGTCTGAATTCTGGAGCGCGATCCCGCGGATCCAGTCAACCCGTCTCATACGGATGCACGACAAGGATGTAAGGGCCTTCGAAGACCATGTTGACACTTTGCGAGCGGGGCGCGGTTCCGAGAAAACAAAAAGAACTGAAAAAATAAACGTCGTTGGTAAGTCGATTCCCTCCCCTCGTTCCCCTCCCTGACAGGGGGGGTCGGTACGGGGGTGTCAGTTTGGAGTCACCGACCACCGAACGGTGTGGTCACCACACCTTTCGGTGGTCGGTGACTCCACCACTGGCGGTCGGTGGTCGGTGGTCGGTGACCCCGAATCCCCACCGACTCACCGCACGGTGTGGTCACCACACCGTTTGGGGGCCCCCGAGTCAGTGGGGATAGGGGGGTCCCAGGTCAGATTACCGCACCCCCCGGGGTCCCAGCGGACCCCCGCCCCTCCGAGTTCCCCCCAGCGGACAGGGAGGACAGGAAGACAGCAAAGGGTCCCCCCAGTGAAAGGGGGGGGGGTCCTGGGAGGGGCTCCGGGGGAGGTCCAGCCTGTGGTGAGGGAGGGCGGTCCCGAGCCAGAACACCACCCTCCCCCGGGGTCTCGGCGGGTCCCGGGGAAGGCGCAAGCGGGGGTCTCTGGGAGGTCCCGCCTTCGGGGTCGACGGCACTGGCCGTGAGGCCTTCACAATGTGGAATGTCTTGGGGATGTCGGACCACAAACAATGGCCGAAACCCGTTCTTCCATGAGGGTCACTCGCAGACGAGGGCGCGTGAGAGTTAGGATCACGAAGACGGGGACGCAGGCGAAGACGAACACGAGGATGCAGGAAGCACACGAATAGAAGAAGCATAAAAATGAGGGCGAGAAGGAGGGCGCGACATGGGAGGTAGGTGCTGAAGAAAACAGCAATACCCCATGTGGTCCCCTTGGTGGTGTTGAGTTTCACAACCTCCTACATATTGGTATGTGTACACCAGTGCATGAATCATACGGTTCCCTCCGCCGCGACGGTGGACAAACACCTGGTGAACCATTGGACATCAGTGCACACATACGTACACAGACTTGCCCAAAACAATTCACCTCCCACGTTGTCTGGCAACAGGTTTTTCGGCCGAGACTGCCAATCTTCCAGAATCCGCGTTCGCCGCGTGATGCCGATGCGATGCTGGAACCCACACGGATACTTACAGGCATCGGGCCCGTTGGTACTCTGGGGCCCACGGCGACCAAGGATGCCCATATCCGCTATTCCCAGGGGTCCGGGGACATCGGTGCGCAGGCGGTATCTATCCGCCGACCCCCGCTTGCCGGGGGGAAAAAGGAGTGTGAGACATTTGGCTGTCCCTCCCCTTTCCCCCTCCCCGGGGATCCAATATCACCCAGCGTTGACTCCAAACAGATAGGAGGACAGGAGGAGGATGAGAAGAGGATGGCAGGAGGAAAAAAGGAGGACGGGAGCAGGACGGGAGGAGAACGGGAGGAGCAAAATCAAGCAAGCGCAAGCAAGCAAGCGGAAGCAAGCAAGCGCAAGCGAGCAATAACAAGCAAGCAAGAGCCAGCGATCAAGTGCAAGCAAGCCAGGGTAAGCAAGAGCAAGCAAGCAAGAGCAAGCACGCAAGAGCAAGCAAGCAAGTGCCATTGGAAGAAGGGGGGGGCCGTTGTAGAGGCACAGCCATAGGAATTAGGGGGGGGCATAGGAATTAGGGGGGGCAACGGACAAATTGATAGGGTTTGAACTAGAACTCCTAACAGGACAAGCCTGTCTGGAGAAAATGCCCTTCTGGGGTGCGGAGCACGAGCTCGTCAACGCACCCCCAGGGCCTCCGGCGCCCCAAGAAGCTCCAAGACAGCCCAACGGGGCCCAGGCAGAGCGCCGAGACAGTCGAAGTGGGCGTCATAACGGCCCAGAGTAGCCCCACTATGGCTTCAAGATGGCCCACGAGGCCCCCAAGAACAGGCCAAAAGCGCCTCCAGAGGATCGCCCAGAGGGCCCCAAGAGGCCAAAAGCATCCCGTTCCCTCGGAAAACGTATATTTTCAGCAATTTCGCGTTTTACGTTTCGACAGCAAACACGACGGCGCAAGTAGCCACCAAGATCGTCCCATGACGGCCCATGATGCCTCCAAGAAGGCCCCAAGACGGCCCAAGAGGGCCCAAAGACAGCCCCAGGGACCCCCCAAGACGGTCGAAGGCAGCCCCTGGAGGGTCCCAAGAGAGCTCCAAGAAAACCCAGGAGGGGGAATACGAGCTGACTGTTCGAGCCTTTTCCACCAAGATGGCCCCTTGAGCCCCCGAGAGGCCCCCGAAGCCCCTCCAAGAGGCCCCAGGAGGCCTCCAAGACGCCCCCAAGAAGCCCCCCAGATGCCCCCCAGATTCATCCAGGAGGCTCCTGACCAAGAGCCCAGGCACGGTGGCGGGGTGGGCAGAGACCACTAGATAACTTCCACGATCGTCTCAACACTCATTTCTTGTGGGGATCGGCGGAATGGCGTAAGCCACTTGAATAAACATGTTATTCATATATATATATATATACACTAGAACCATCGCGCGCGCTCAAGTTCTAGCTAGGATAATCGTCATCGTCATCATCGTCATCGTCATCACCATCATATCCGGCGTCATCGTCAGCGGCATCGTCATCATCACCATGACCATCACCATCATCACAATCGTCACCATCACCACCATCAGCAGCAACATCGTCATCACCATCGTCATCATCGCCATTGTCGTCATCATCGTCAATATCGTCACCTGAATTATCGACATAATCATGCTCATCATCGCCATCGTCATCATTATCGTCGTCGTCGTCGTGATCGTCGTCATCGTTATCGTCATCATCATCATCATCATCATCATCATCATCATCATCATCTTCATCATCCGCCCACTCGTGCATCACAAGCACCATAAACAGCTTCGCCACCATTATTATCAGCATCGGCGTTATCATCCTGACCATCAGCAGCATCATCATAATGATCGTCAGCATCACCATCCTCAACGGCATCACCGTCATCATCACCATGATCGTCAGCATCACCACCATCATCATCACCAACATCACTCACATCACGATCACCATCATCAACATCATCATCATCATCATCATCAGCATCATCATCATCATTCCCACTGTCAACATCATCATCATCATAATATTATTCCTCATCATCATCATCACCATCAGCATCATCGTCGTCGCCAACTTCATAATAGTCGTCATCATCGTCATCATTTTCGTCACCGTCGTCTCCGAAGCTCCCCCGCCGAACTCGAGGATATCTCCGCAGCGTCTTGCATGCCGCGTGAGCAGTATTGGGGATTTAGGTTGTGGGCCTGAGGCCGCCCTGCATAATCATCATTGTCATTATCACCAGCGGCTGGAAGCCTTGCGGGGCCCTTTCGGCGCCTTTTGGAGGCCTCTTGGAGCTTCCTGGGGGCCTCTCGAGGCCTCTTGCGGACTCCTGGGGGCCTCTTGGGAGCTTCTGGTGGGCGAGGGCTCGAAATGTCAGTTCGTGTTCCCCATCTGGGGCTCCTCTTGGAGTGTTCTGGGAGCTCTTTTGGGCCGTCTTGGAAGCTTCCTGGGCCGTCTTGGGGCCCTCTTGGGCTGTCTCGGGTGGTCTCTTGGGGGCCTCTGGGCTGGTCTTGAGGCGATCTTTCGGGCCTCTTGGGCCGCCTTGGAGCGTCTGGAAGCCGAACTGGGGAGAACGCCAAAACCCTTCAAAACCCACTGAAAATCAGTGATCGCTTTATTTGCCAGTGGCTCAGACTGCTTGAGGATTCGAACGAAGCACGGACAAGCTAGGCTGGCTAGTGCGACACAGATCTGCCATACTTCAACCTGAAACAAAATCCATCACTCAAGCATTGTGCTGGGGCTTAACCCGCATTCGTTTCCATCTTTCGGTGGAATGCTGTGCTATACACGTTCGGTGCAGTGTGTCAGCCAGGAGTGCGCAGAGGGCGGGGGGGCAGGCGTTTTTGAGACGGGCGAGGAAACCACCCTCAGAAAAGCAACCGGAGAGCTCAAGGTGAGGCTTACCGGTGAAGGAGCAAACCCCTCTGCCTTTGCACACTAACTTATCTAGACCAGGGTGCGGGCTGCACTTCCAGAACCTTATCCGAGTGCGAGCACGAAAGGGGCGACCACAGGCACAGTAATCGACAACTTTATCACAGACATCGGGAAGCCTAGCGAAGGCGCGGCGGTCGGGGCGAAGCCACAGGAAACTTTGCCAGGGGTTCTCCTCGCCGCCCAGAATATTTAACCTATAGCAGAGGCGCTGAATACGCTGTGAGACCCACCCTACTTTGTTTGAGGCGCGAAGGCTCTCGAGGTCTTTACCAGTGAGGCCCGGGATCCCAAGAGAGGAAAAGCGGGGCTCTGGAGAGCCGAGGGCATGCTGCTACACGGGGGGGCCCGACGGGCCCTCGAGTGCCCGCCACAAGGAGTTCCTAGGAAAACGAGTTTGACCAGTCCAGAAGTCAGCCATCCCTGGAGGATCCCCCAGACCCCCGGTCGAGACAAATCGAAATGGTCACCGTGCTGGATGTCCCATTCAACAACAGCCTCACCTCTCTGCCTCAGATGTTTGCTCAGCGCCCCACATCCCGAGAAGACTTCGACGCACGCTCTTGTCTGATGGGGGGCGCTCCGAAATGCAGCACCAAGGACCTGTTGAAGACGCCGACGTAGTCCCCGCCTGCTGCTCGGAGGGCCTCGCGCTGCTGCACGGCGCCTAAGCCTCTGGCGCCCGTGCCCCGGTCGTGGCTGGCCCCTCCATGCCGGAGGGAGTAGAGGGTGGCCTTGAGTAAGCTCACACCCAGAGCGGAGGTCGCGCTCTGGAAGTCCTCCGCCAGTTGGTTGTAGCCCAGGCCCAGGAAGAGGTCGTCTGGCCCGCGAAGGGCTTGCACAAAGGAGATCGGATCCACCATCCACTGCTGCCTGGGCAGGTCGAGTGGAACTGAGAGGTCGTACTCGTTGGTCTTGGTCGGGATCTCGTATTCCGAGGCCCGCACCACGAACGTCAAGAAAATCGATGCGCCTCCCTCCTTTGGCAGCGGCTCGCAGGGCCAGCACTTCCGAGGGGCGCATGTAGGTCTCGAACATGATCAGAACGGCCAAGCCACTGAGCGGCTTCCCAGCCCGGCACAGCCAGCAGGCCACTGCCCGCACCACCAGGAAAGGGACGGGCGGTCTGGATTTGGACGGCTCCAGGAGGTTCCAGCCCTTCAGCGTCTGGTGCGTCAGGGGGAAGACCTCGCGGATCCCGGCCCCGTGGAGGGCGGGCTCCGCCCAGGGCAGCGCCGGGGCCAGCCGCTGAGTAGACGCCTTGGAGCCCCCACGGTCGCAGATTGACTCGGCGTACTCTGCCAGCGTCTCGCCCCACGTGTGGCGCGGCCAGTCCGGGAGGAAGGCCATATTCAGCCAGCGCACCAAGCCGAGGATCATCCCGAGGTAGAGCTCCTGCGTGCGAGGCCTGACCTTGGCAGCCGCAAGGCGGGTCTGGCGCGGGCACAGCTGGCGCCTCCTCAGGTCGAAGTCGCTCTCCGAGTGACTGAGGCCAAGCCATGCGCGCCGCCCGGCCAAGTCTGGCCTGCTCCCGGGCCCGGCCAGCACCGGCACCACGGCCCGCCTCGGCATGCCCTGGCAGCGGCTGCCCGGGCGGCGAGGCGAACGGCTCCTGCGCTCGCTCGGCGCGCGAGGGCCGGAGCGGCAGCTCGCCGAGGCCACCAGCGTGGGCGGCACCGCCCGGAGCGTCGCCACCTCCATGCACGCTCTCGGGGCCTTGAGGCTGAAAGCGTCGGGACGGGCCGTCGCTCGGGTTCCACTCCGAGGGGGGCCACCTCACCTGAACCTTCAGGTCTGCTGCGACTCCCACTGCAAAAAGGACCCGACAGACTCCCAAGAGACGATGATTGGCAGCACGACCTTTGGCAGCAGCGAGAGTGAGGGACATGTCATCGCCAAGAAAGAGTCGGCGAGAACAGTGCTCCCGAGCGTCTCTAGCTGCCCGGCGGACGGCCCAAGTCAGAGCGGCCCCCGAGTCCGTGGATGGCCTCCTTGCGCTTCCAGCGGCCGCAGCCGACTACGCGCCAGGGCCGGGCGCGCATCTTGCCGTAGTCGACCTCCGGGAAACCTGCCGAGCGACCTGCCAGCAGGAGGGCGGGCTCCGGTGCCCGCGCTATCTCCTGCTCCAGGGCCCTCTCGCGGGGGGCGCCCTCGGCAGCGAGCACGCCTCGGAATCGAGGGCGCTCGGAGACCCGGCCGACGCGCTGCACGTCATCGAGGTCCCACTCGGTCTCCACGATGCCGTAGCCCCAGGGGGACGCGTCGAAGCAAGTGACCACCTCGCTCCACGGGCGCCGGGTGTCGGCCCGAAGACAAGGTAGCAGCGCCTTGACCCAGCCCATCTCACGGGTCACGCTTTTCCAGAGCGGCTGCTTCTTGGAGTAGGAGGCCTGCAGGAACTCGTATGAGGAGTGCAGCATGGCCAGCCCCTCCCGGCGCAGCATCAGGATGGAAACCAGGTGGCCAATCAGACGCTCGAGCTCTTGGCCAGAGACCTTGGCCCGACCCGAGAGGACATACTCGAGGGCACCGTAGACTCGCCATAGCCGGCGGCCCAGCACGTGCCAGCAGCCCGTCTGCAGGTCGAGCTCGCATCCCAGCAGCTCGCCGCGCCCGGCTGGGGCGGGGTCTAGCTCTGAGACCACGCCCTTGGCCGCGAGCGCCGCCTGCATGTCGGCAACGGCGGTGCCGGCGCGGTCGGACGACTGAGACAGCACAGCAAAGTTGTCTATGTACAGGACCTTGGCATCATCAGAGTTCAAGTCGATGCCAGGGCACTTGTCCAAGCACCACGGCTGCGATGGCAAAACTGACTTGACGAGGTGAAGGTGTGCTTCTGGAATAAAGTGCACTGCCCAGCTCCATCCCATGGGCACCACCTTGAATCGAAAGCGAACCTGGCCGCTCTTCAACGTCAGCCCGCAGGCGCCCCGAACCTCTGGAGGCAGGAAGCGACTCTCGATCAGCGGGAGGTTGAAGTAGCGCCTGCACCAGGGCGGCAATTCATATTGATAGAAACAGCAGTCGACGTCTCCAGAACTCATGCCGATCATAGTGACTCCTGACGCCTCCAGCGAGGATAACGCCTCGCCCGTCGCGAGCGCCGTTTGCTCTGGAGTGGTAAAGTGCATGTTGGGTGTCCTGGTGTCGCAGATGAGACGCAACCACTTGTCCTTGCGAGCCACAAAAAACATGCCAGCTCCCTCCAACACTGGCTCCGAGCTGGCCTCGATCACTCCAGAGGTGTAGAGCTCCCCCAGCGCGTGGCCGCAGTCGTAGCCGAGCCGCCCGAGCTTCGGGCCCATGGCACGAGGAGCACCTGCATCACGAATTAGCGCTGCTGCCTCCACTGGGGATCGCAACAGCCCGCGCCCAGTCTCCAGCTCGGTCTGCAGATCAGCGGGGAGGACCTCCGTAAGAGCCACCTTGCCCGCGCCGATCTTGGGGGGAGAGATATTTCCCCGCTGTTAGACTGCTCGAGAACCGGAGGCCTCGACTTCCGAGTAGCCAGGCCTGAGACCCTGTAGCGTCCTCCACGCTTCATGGGGACTAGGGCGATCAACGGGCGGCGACCATTTGCCGTAGGTCGTGGCCAGCCGCCTAACCGCAGCACGCTGGGCCGCCGTCAGCGGGGAGAGGGCAGGCACATAGCGCCCCTGCCCCCCCAGCTCGTTGAGGGAGGTGATGCCGTCGAGTAGCCACTGATCCTGTCGCCTCCTGGTCGCAGCTCTCCTCCGTGCTGTGAGCGAAGTGCCCCATGCAGCCCCACCGCTCAGCATCGACATCAGCTCCGGACCGATCGGGATAGGAAGAAGGTCTCGACGGCGCCCCCCACCGCCGTCGTCACAAAACATAGTGCCGTATGACCAGCACCCCCCCTTGAGAATAGTCGACCGCTCGGGGGCAGGCGGGCGACCAAGCCACTTCGATATAGGCATGGGGCTAGGATGCCCCGTCAGCACCGCCCTTGGCCTTTGCTTTCGACTTCGGCCTGGCTGTGCTGTTCTCCTTCACACCACCTCGAGCAAGAATATGTTCTTCACGTCCTTTGCGCCGTTATTTGAGTACTGCTGCCTCCTCCTGGAGACGGGCTGCCACCCAGCTCTGAAGTGCAGGACAAACCAAAACTCCACCACGTCCACGCTCTTGCCCCAAGAAGATCTCACGCTCGTCGAGCCAAGCTGAGCCCCCTGCACTGCGAACCGCGCCTGCCTCGTGCTCACGAAGTCTGTTGGCATAGACTTCCTCCCAGAGTTGGTACCGTCGGGACACAGTTTCGAAGGTCGCGAGCTCGCCCTCATTGAGCTGGTTCTTTTCGGCGCCCATCTCCAGCAGCTCTGAAAGGAACTGATGTTCATCAACTCCAGCATCCGCGGCGGTGAGGTTCTGGGTCTGCCTCCACCACATGCGTCGCTGGAGGGGGGTCTGGCCCAGCCGCCTGAACTGCTGCACCAGCCACAAGGTCGCCCGCGGCCCAAGGACAGGGAAGTCCAGCTGCGGGTTGGAGGACATGATGTCCACCGCCTCGGCGAAGTCCCTGACCCTGGTGCCGCCGGCGTCGTACTTGACAGGAAGGTCCGAAGATCCTGCTCTGCCGCTGGACGCTCCTGCCGGGGGGTCGGAGTGTCATAGGTGTCGGCCTTCGCGACTGCCAGCTTGGTGCCATCGGCGAGCTCACAGATCCCCCGATCTCCAAGAGCGGCGACGGGCACGGTGCCTGCTGGAAGCTCGTCACCTGGTCAGTAGCCAGCTCGGGCCTCCAAGGCAACCCAGCGAGGAGCGTCACCAGCGTCAGCACGATCGACGAGAGCCCCGCCAGGCGCAGGCGGTGGCGCGAGCGCCCCGTGTGGCTCGTCGGGGAGGCCCTCCTCCCGGCGGATCTCGCTAGCCAGCTGCTTGCCCTCAGCCAGCAGCCTCGCTTCGTTCCGCTTGTAGCGGTCCATGTCCACGCGGAGGATGTGGCCCGAGAGCTTCGTGGGCAAGCCCCCGAGGGGGCCGACTGGACAGAGCTGCAGGGCCTCCGCGAAGTCTTCTTCGTAGATGTCAAAGTGTGGTGTGACCACCACCCATCTCGTCGCAGTGATCCTGCCGACCAAAATCCGCTCATGCCAGTAATTGTCCTCTTGCTCGTAGTAGGCGAGGACCCGTGTACCCACCTGCAGGGTCTCCAGGGCCTTGGCAGTCCGCGAGGCTGCCATGGGCCACTGACTGGGTTTCTCTCCGAGCGCGTCGTCTCGTCGTCCAGCCAAGGACCTCGCGGAGCACAGCGCCCAGGACCAGGCCGAGCACGAGCGAGAGGCCTAGCTCCAGCTGGGTGTGCCCTGGCTCGGGGCAGGCTGGAGTGAACGTCGGCTGCCCGTGCAGGTGCTCTGGACCACACCTGTCGAGCTGTCCTTTCAACAGTCCGATGAAGGCCTCGTCGGGCGAGGCGTCGAAGTGGCAGCTGCAGTCGCACCCGCTGCTGCTGCTGCTGCCGAGCCAGGTGCCTAGCGCCTGGCCGCCGATCGCCGCGACCCAATGAGCCCCCGCCCCGAAGAGGGCTGTGGCCATTCAGAGAATGACTCCCCGAAAGAAGTGCCTTGAGCGAGAAGGCGACAGACATTAGCAATCATTCTCGTGCATCACTTACAGACAATTTCCTATTGGGCCCCTCCCGGGAGTGTTGTCGGAGACCTGCTGGGACGCTGTGGCAGCTTTTTAACCGTCTGGGAGTGCTCCTGGGCCGCTTCGGACCTCTCTTGGGCTGTCCTGAGGGCGTCATGGAGCCATTTTAGAGGGTCCTGGGAGCGTCCTGGCGTCTCCGGCGGGGGGGTGACCACAGCCACTGGGCAAAGTGAGGCCCCCCCCTGGTCCAGGACCCCCTTCCCAATTTGTATTATATATATACATATACATATACATATAACTATACATATACATATACATAAACATATACATATACATATACATATACATATACATATACATATACATGTACATATACATATACATATACATATACATATACATATACATATACATATACATATACATATACATATACATATACATATACATATACATATACATATACACATACACATACACATACACATACACATACACATACACATACACATACATACTGCACATACATACATACATACATACATACATACATACATACATACATACATGCATGCATGCATGCATGCATGCATGCATACATACATACATACATACATACATACATACATACACATACACATACATACATACATACAGACAGACTTACATACATTACATACATGCATACCTACCTACCTACCTACCTACATGCATGCATGCATGCATGCATGCATGCCTGCCTGCCTACCGACCTACCTACCTACCAACCTACCTACATACATACATACATACATGCCTACATACATACATATACATATATATAGAGAGAGAGAAACATACGTAAAATATGTAGGATTGTGCACACAGGAGAAGGACAATCTATAGAAACATACGTACGTCGTCCAAGGCGCCTCGGAAGGCGCAGAATACTCCTCCAAGGCGCAGAATCATGTTCCCGGACCGCCTTCGGGGAACATGATGGGGACGACCTCCTGAGGGCCTCCAGTGGGCCTCTTGGGGGCCTCTCGGAGGCCTGTTGGGCTCTCCTGGAGGCGTCTTGGGGCGCGCTCAGGGCCATTTTTGGGCATCTTGGGTGCCTCTGGGGGGAGGCTCTTGGGGGCCTCTTTGGGGCCTCTTGGGGCCTCGCGGGGCCCTCTTGGGGACCGCTGGGCTCGCTTAGGCAGTCTTGAAGCCTGTCGGGGCTCTCCTGGAACCGTCTTGGGCGGCTCCTGGGCCATCTTGGGGCTCTCCTGGGCCGTCTTGGGACGATTTTGGGGGTCTCTTGGGCCGTCTTGGGGCGGTCTTGAGGGCCTCTTCGGCCGTCTTGGAGCGGTTTTGGGAGACTCTTGGACGGTCTTGGAGCGTCGGAACCCCGAAAAAGCGAGAAGGCCAAAAACTTCGGCAACAAAAAAAAAAAATCAACGATTTTGGCTTGTCGGTGCTCTCTTGGGAGGCCTCTTGGGATGCCTTCGGGGCCTCATGGAGCTCTCTTGGAACGTCTTCGGGCCTTCCTGGCCATTCCTGAGGCTATCTATGCACGTCTTGGAGCGCTCGCGGGCCGTCTTGGGCGGTCTCGAACTGTTCCTGGCGGTCCCAGGGGCCCTCCGGGACGCTTCGGACGCTCCCGGGGGCGCCCTGCACCCCCCATGGAGATTACTGGCAGCGCCCCGGGCCGCCCCCGGGCCCTACTCCGATAGATATTTATATATATACATACATACATACATACATACATACATACATACATACATACATACATACCAACCTACCTACCTACCTACCTACCTACATACATACATACATACATAGACATAGACATAGACATAGACATAGACATAGACATAGACATAGACATATACATATACATATACATATACGTATACATATAAATATACATATACATATACATATACATATACATATATATATATACATGTGTACATACATACATACATACATACATACATACATACATACATGCATACATACATGCATGCATGCATGCATACATACATACATACATGCATACATGCATACATGCATACATGCATACATACATACATGCATGCATACATCAATACATACATACATGCTTACATACATACATCCATACATACATACATACATGCATGCATGCATGCATGCATGCATACCTACCTACCTACCTACCTACCTACATACATACATACATACATACATACATACCTATAAAAAAATGTATACACACATAGTTAAATATGCACACAAACATACATACATACATACATACATACATACATACATACATACATACATACATACATACATACATACATACACACATACATACATACACTAGAACCATCGCGCGCTTCGCGCGCGCTCAAGTTCCACATGTCTTGGATCCCAACATGAGAAATCAATGGGCTTTGCCTCACGGAGCTCTCTTTTGACCCTCTTGGGCCGTCCTGAGGGCCTCTTGGACACCTCTTGGGTAACTCTTGGGGGATTAGTGGGGGGACTGCTGGCCGTCTCGGGGGTCCTCTTGGGGCGAAGGGCTCGACATGTGAGTTCGAGACCCCCCTCTTGGGCACCACTTGGGGCCCTCTTGGAGCGATCTAGGGCCGTCTGGCCCACCTCTTGTGCCATTACAGAGCCCCCTTGGGCTTCTTAAGCCTCACTTTGGCGCCTCTCAGGGCGTCTTGGGGCGGTCTTGGGGCGGTTCTGCGGGTCACATGGGGCGTCTTGGACGCAGCGAAGAGGGGGAAAAGAAAAAACGAACGTGTCAAACGACTTTTGCCTCTAGGGCCCTCTTGGGGGTCCTCTTGGAGCCGTCTTGGGGCGCCTTTAGGCCATCCTGGACCGTTCTAGAGCTGCCGGGGAAGCTATACGGGGCCGTCCAGAAGCGATGTGGGCCGTCGTCGTCCTCCTCCTTCTCCTCCTCGTCCTCGTCCTCCTCATCGTCCTCCTCCTGTTCCTCCTGCTCCTCCTCCTCCTCCTCGTCCTCCTCCTCCTCCTCCTCCTTCTCCTCCTCCTCCTCCTCCCCCGCCCACTCCTTGGGGCGGTATGGCTGATCAGCAAGTTGGTGCGCCTTCCCAGGCCAGGAAAAGGCGAGCGCCTCGCAGCGCTTCTCGACACTCTTGTTCGCAGCTGGGGGCCACGCCAGGCGCAGCGCGCCAGCCCAGCAGGAACAAGCCAACGCTCCTGAGGAATGTGTGGCCAAGTCTCAAGTCGGGCCTATCCCCCTACAGGGGGATTTCGGACGAAAAAAAAAGAAAATCCCAAATATACCATTTTAAATGTTTAACAAAAAACGGTGCTCAAAAAAAGTAAACAAATAGTCCCCAGACTATGTGTTACTATTTTGGGGTATTCCCCCCGTAGAGGGACAGGCCCGGCTTAAGCCAAGTCGGAGGCCGCAATTCTACCGATACAGCTTTCGTAAGACTCTGGAAAGCGGAGGCGGCAAGCCTGGCTTACGATCATGCTCTGGGTCAGTCTTGGGGGCATGCTCAAGTGCTACGAGGTGGTGAGGCACAAGGCCGTGTCGCTGGAGTGTCGCGAGAACAAGATTATGGTGAGGCTGACCTTAATGTTAGTTTCGCTGTGTTAGCAGCTGCGCACGGTGTACGCGTTTTTTCCTCTCAGAACATCTCTGGTGAACCTACCACATCACGATTCAAAACGACGCTAGGCAAACCGGGAACACCGCACGACAAGCCGACCTGCAATAGGCAAACTCATGCTATGAACTGCTGCCTGGGCAACAGATCGGCAATGCAGTTGCTATGCATGCATATTGATATCCCCCGCGGCCCGAACGGCCAGCGATATCCCTACACACAGCGCCGAGAGGGGACAAGAAAGAAGAGGAGAAGCAGGAGGAGAAGGAGGAGGAGGAGGAGCAGGAAGAAGAAGAAGAAGCAAGGAGAGGGAAGACGCGAGGCCCACCCAACGCAGGTCAGCTGACCATGGCGAGAGCCTGGATTAAAGGCGAATTGGCACGAGCCACGACGCAGTGCCCAGGCGGCGACACGAGAAATGCCCAACACGAACGCCGTGCAAACGCAACGCCCGTGGAGGAGGAGGAGCAGCAGCAGCAGGAGAACAGCAGAGGAGAGAGAGCGCCGAGACTGTGCAGCTTTCGACGCGCCGGGAAAATCATGGAGGCCGTGCGACGGCAACTCCCCAAGAGGCCACCCGCACAGCGCCCCGAGAGGGCGCTCAGAGCAGACTCCTGAAAACAGCCACGGCCGCCAGCCGAGCCAGGGCAGGGGAAGGGAGGGAAACGCCAGCCGCGTGACTCGCGGGAGGGGGGGGCGGGAAGGGAAACGCTGGCCACGGCCACGGCCACGGCCACGGCCACGGACACGGCCACGGCCACGGCAACGGCCCGAGTGCCGACATCGCTGGGAGTGCCGCCGTCCCGGACGAGAGTGCCAGGGTGCCCAGGCTCCCTGCACGCACTGGGGGGGAGCGAGGGGGGAGACCGGAAGAGGGGCGAGCCAGAGCTCTGCCTCCAGGAGGCGAGCGCGGGAGGCAAGAGAAGGGAGCGAGGCGTGCGCGAACCGCTTCTGCTCGTCGACAGAGTTCGCGTATAGCAAGGCGTCCTGGCTGGCTGCACACACGCTGCGGCGCTCCTCGTGGGCCTGCTGACTCACAGCCTCCAGCCGTCGCCAAAAGGAGGTGCGCCCAAGGGATGTGGCGGACGGCGTGGCGTTGAGTTGGGTCGGCACGGATCAAATCAAGGGGCCCAGGGACACACGAAAAAATACTAGCAAACAAAACGATCCCCCATATTTTCCCATACTTTCTGGGTTTTTGTCTTC